CCAGTACGGATAGATGAAATATAAAGCAAGATGAGCTACACTTATTGTTTTAAAATAGGATGTGAAAGTAAAGCACATTACCTTATCACAGTAGCCGCCATTTGGACATTTTTCCGAATCCCAATATGTAAGAAAGAAGGAATGACGTCTATTACCAAAGGTATACAACCACCACCCGAAGTACATTTGTCCCCCTGTTACAATGCATATTGTTAGTAATAATTTGGTATTTTAATGATACCCTTTAATAAGTGGGAGGTTACCTTATCACAGTGGTAGCCATTTCCACAGTCGTCTGCACCCTTGAATGTTCAACAAATTAAAGTGATTTTTTTAAAGATAATATTTTATATAATTTCACATTGGATGTAAGAACGTAGGGTTAATTACCGGAGGTAAACAACCGCCTGGAAGACATTTATCGTTCTAACATACACAAAACACGTCAGTAATTTCATATCTCAACAGTTTCGTAGTTAAATAAAGAAATATTACCAAGCCGCAGCAATGATCTCCATCATCACAGCATTTTTTATCCGATCCCTGCGTTAGTAAAAATATAACATTAATAATTTTTAACAGTCAACGATACCATAAAACAAGATATAAAATAAAAAAATCACAACTGCAAGCCGCACATCCGACGCCCTTAGTCCAAAATGTGCAAATAGAACATTTTATTAGTAAATAATAATAAAGATCACGTCGTATAGTTAGAAAATAATGTCAATTACGTTTATTGGACTGGGCTACAAATGGATATTGCATAGTATTATTAGTAATGTGATTGTAACGTATGAGATGAATTCAACAAGGTATGATATTTCGGATTTAACCAATTGAATACACTGTATCAATACCACAAGAGAAAAAAAAGGTGAATAATACCTCTCTATGCGTCTAGTTGTTGACCTTTGAATTAACGTTTTCATAGTCTTTGCATGGTAAGGTCCCTTTTATGACTAGAAATCCAAATGCTATGGGAATCAGCCGTGAGGAAGAAAGTCATTAGTAGAGATATAATAAGACCGAATAAAATTTTCATGATTTAAACGTCATTTCTATTTTGGA